CACTCCATCCAGTAGCACTTATGACCTAGTCACACTGGCCCATTTCCAGAGACCCTTTCCATGTATGACTGGAGGTCCTTGTTTTTCTCTTGTGTATCCAGGTTCCTGCAACAAGCAATCACCACCTGTGAGATACACTGTAGGGACAAATACAGAAACCACTGTAGACTAAATACTAGATATCAGAGAACTGTTAGTACAGGGGACATGAAATAGCAAGCCTGCGTTGTCCAAGAAAATGACCTTATTTTTTGAGACATAGAGTTTACAGTATTGACAGATTAAAACCACAATATTTGTGAATTACACTAAAATACTTTAGAAGACAGTAGATAAAGAAAATGCAAAATGCAAATGGCAGTTGTAGTTAGCAGGTTATTTTCTATTTTTCCATGTATTAGAAAATACTCTAGTTCAATCTAAGTAAGTTGATTTAAAGAAAATATTAAGGAGACAACACTTATGGCTGAGTCCATAGTGTGGTAGGAAAGGAGAACGGAGCCTGGGGAGGGGGAACGTGCTTGTGGGTTAGGGAGACCAGCCTTGCCCTGGGGTGGGCGTAGGGGTGGGGGGGGCCGACCCCGTGCCCCTGTCCATCTGCCACTGGGGCTCCCAGGGGCTCCAGCTCCTGGCTGCTCCCTCCTGCTTGTCTCCTGCACATCTGCTGGGTGTTTGGCAGGGCCTGCAGCTCAGGTGTCCCCTAACCCTGGGGGGCAGAGTCACCCTGCCAGGATGGGGAGAAACACAATGTCCCTTCACTGTCCCCAAACAGGCAGGAAAACTGAAGTCCAGGCTCCACTGAAGTCCTCCTTCTTGGTCCTGCAAGGGGAGGAGGTGGAGGGAAGCCCATCACACAGAAGTAGCTGGATAGGACCCCACTACCTGAGGATTCTGAAGGCTGGGACCCAGCCCCAGGGGACAAAAATCCTCCCTCTGACAAGCCACCCCAGGGCCCTGATGGATTGCTCCAGTCATTCAAAAAGTCTCTCAACTCTTCCCTCCCCTTTATCCCCAAACCCAGTTAGTTGCCCTGCCTCAATGTCATTCATTCAGTCAAGTATTTTTAGGGCTCCCACTATATGCCAGGCAGGTCTAGCTCTGACTGTCCCTACTTGTGCTGAACCTGCACTGGTAAGGACAGAGCCCCAAGATGCCTAAGTGAACATACAACACCCCCTCAAGGGCCCAGTGTGAGCAGGGATGAGGCCTGAGGCTCCATGAATGAAAGAGTCGCTTAGCGGGATTCTCAAATCCCTCGAGAGGGAATTGAGTAGAGGACTAAACAAAGTGAAGAAGGAGCCATGAGGATATAATACCTGGGGCAGACAACTCCAGATATTATAGTGCAAAGGTCATGAGGCAGAGTCGGAGTGCACTGGGAGAGCCAGGCGACATGGGAGGGAAGGGTCCTACTGGAAAAAGGACTGGCTAACAGCAAGCATCCCTTTGGATGAAAGGAGAAAGGGCAGAAGCAGGGGGAGGATACAAGGACTATGGCAAAGTCCAGAGGAGGACAGAAAGAGACTGGACTTGGTGGGGCTGCCCAGGAATGCCAATACCCAGGGTGTACAGAATGGTGAGATTCTGGATCCCACAGAGGGATTAGATATGGAATCCGCCGAGATCATTCCAAGCTCCACTTGTGGGGCCGTGTTCCCCGCTTTGTTCTCAGTGTACAAATAATTATTGAAAGGAAAGAGAGAAAGAGGATGCGAGGCCTCAGCCCCTTCGCCATCAAATGGTTTTTCCTTTTTCAAGCCGGTTAAGTGGCTCCGTCTGGAGGCGAATTGTAGGAACTGCAGCCCTCTGGTTTGGACCTTAACCGGAATCCAACTCTAGGGTAAGGTTAGGGGGAAGCGGGAAGGGGTAAAATCAGAAAGCATCCACCCACACAGATGAGGACACAGTGGCCCGACCAGGATTGAGACCTAGCCTCGTTCTCAACACCACCTGCTGCACCTCCTGACTTCCTATCGGTTCCCAAGGAGCGGGGCCTCCATCTGCAGCTCCCTGGTGACCCCCGCCAGACCTGCGCAGCACAGGGTGGGGGGCTCCCGGGCTGAATTTGCGCCGTCCAGGATCCCTACACCACAGGCCACACACCAGAATCTGCTCCCCCGCTGCCCGTCCTTCCCCCATGTGCTCAGTAAACACACACACACACCCCAACACACCCGTAGCCTCACCCTGAGGCTGTCATGGTCCTGCAAGGACAAGGTCCCAAAGAACAGAGGACTTGGTTTGAGCTGAGCAGGGAGACATCATTTGCCTTGGCCTTCAAGGTGAGGTACAACATAGCATTTGCTATTTCTTTTTCTTTATTTTTTTCTTGTTTAAAGTACTTTTTTAAATTGTATAATTTATAGCGTTATAGACTCTCAAATAATTAACATATTTGAGTGAAGCCTAAAATCGCCTTTGCTCACTCTCCATGCCTGCTTCTTGTCTCGTGTCCCCCCTCACACACCTAAAGAAAGGGGTAGCCTTCGCACTCGCGTGTCCTGTAATTTCTTTTCTCCCTGGATTCCGGGCCCTTGGGTCTGTGAGCGGAGAGTCCTGCAGGGCCCTGAGGGGAGCCGGGCCCCGTCTGACGTGCGGTCCCCTCACCTCCCCCACATCTTTTTACCCGCTCCCCTCCCTTTGGCCTCCAGCCTTTCATCCCGGGTTGCCGGCCCCACGCCAGCACAAGTGAAAAGGACCAAGACCACCAGATGCTCTTTTGCGGGTCCTTCTCAGAACGCGCGCTCCTGCGCCACCTAGTGGCAGCTCTGCGGAGCCGCAGCGGTACCTGTGTCCCTAGTCTCCGGCTCCGAGGCTCCGCGCATGCGCAGCCCGCTCTAGGCGCCTTCCGGGGCGCAGACCCGAGGTAGAGTTGCTCTCTGCCTGAGTCTCCCCGGAAATTGCTAGGACCATCGGGACCTGCCTGGAGAGCCTATTCAGGTGCATCTCACGGGAGGGAAGACATGTCGGGAACGCAACAGTATGACCTCTCCAGGTCACAGCTGGGAACGGATTGTGCGGGTGTCCTGCGCTCGGGTCACAACAGATTGGCCGGTGTTCACTGCCTGTTCCTGCTGGCCAGTGATAGGTAGCAGGAGGGGCTGCATTCACCCTGAAACCTGCGGAGCTGAAGGGAGGCACCCACCGCCCAGCAGACTCCCTCGCCAGTGCTGTCCTCCTTGGGCCACCACCTATGCCCTCGCATCACGTTCCCATTACCAGGTCTCCCCAGCACAGCGAATGTACTGGTTCCCTTTGACTGCTTTAGTCACCCCGGTCAGGTTCCTCTGCTTGCTATGATCAGTATCCGAGGCTCCCCACCAGAGCACCAGCTGCCCACTGCAAAGACTTGGTCTCTGGTTGGTCCTGTGTCCCGAGCACCTCCCAGAGTGCCTTATGTAGAGCTGGCAGTCAGACGGCGTTTGCTGAATGAATGAATGAGCTATCCCAATGTAAAGAACATAAAGTAATCTAAGACATTAAATGGGAAAAACAAGGTTCTGAATGATGTATACGTGGTGCTGTCGGACCCCTTGGAAAAAAAGGTGGGTGGGATGCTTTTTACAAGTGCTCAAGGCGGTTGGGGGTGCAACTCAGCAGTAGGGCATATGCCCAGCACTTGCAAGGCCCTGTGCTTATCCTCAGCACGAGACAGAGACAGGGACAGAGACAGGGAAAGAAAGGAAGGGGCTAAATACTAAAGTCTAGATTTTTAGAAATGAGGCGGATATACTGGTTGGGGTTCCTTCATTGATGTGTGCAACATTTAGTAAGCTAGCTCCAGGTGTATACTGGTTACTAAGCATATCAGGAAAGATTTTATCCCAGGAAGTGGCATTTGAGGTTGGCTTTGAAATATGCATCAGATCACTTTTTCTTTTCTTTTCTGGTTGTCTGTTTATTTGTTTCTCTGAGACACTGTCTCATTACATGGTTTAGTCTGGTCTTGAATTCACTATGTATCTGAGGCTGGCAACAAATTCAAAGTGATCTTTCTGCCTCAGCCTCCCAAGGGATGGGATTCCAGGCCTTTTCCACTAAGCCCCACTCCAGATCTCATTTTGAAGGGTAAATTGGGTCATTCTTTGAAATATACATCCAGTGGGGCCAGAGATGAGGCACAGAGGATTTTCTAGTGAAAGGGTGGGAGTGGGATTTGGTAGTTCTGAAGTTCTGAGTATACTTAAAGAATGGTGTGAGCAGTAAAGGTGATAAAATCATGTTTACTGATTGTATTTCAGAAAGGACTTAAATGTGAGACTTCAGCATTTTTCTTAATTTGGCAAGCAACAGAGAGTTCGTGAAGACTGTGGAAGTGTTCCATTCCTCTCTAGGGAGTAGAGCCTTGTGACCCTGAGATACAAAGTATCTGCTATGGCAGCAGACAGAACAATGGTTTCTTTCCCCTCTTCTAAGCCTTTTGGCTTGGTTATAGGTCCAAGTGACCAAGGCCAAATGAACAGGAGAAACCCTTTTAATTATGTGCATGCACACAGGAGACTTGGAGAAGGGCCAATGGCTGCAGCTTGCACAGAGCTTTAAGCTCAGAAAGGATTAGGGGCCACCCCAGTGAGAGTGGTGAGAGCAGGACTTGCACAGTGAGTAAAGGTTTCCTTATTATGCAGATAAACTACCTGTAGCAATAAAGTGGTCTAGAGCAGCCTCTTCCTATACAGACACTTTTACTGGTATAGATGTCCTTGATAAGCCATATGCTTCTTTGAGGACAGCGCTTCCCTGTAGCTCTGATACTGACCATCCTGTGCTATGCCAAAGAAGTTTGTGTGGGATGACACATTTCCATTTCCATAGTCGTGTTTGGGGTGATGTGCCCTGAGTGCCACAGTACCCATAATGCTTCCCGCCACTCCACCTGCCGAGCTAAAAGTGGGTCCTTGCCAGGAGCGGTGCTCCCTCTCCTCTCAAGCATCTGCCAGACAGTGGGGGCTTCCTACACAAACGCACGTCTTGGAGGAAAACCCCCCAAGCAGACCACTCACCGAAGGTGGCATGCCATGATCGTTTCCTGGTGCCAGGCAGGACCTGCGAGATCCTTTTACACCTAGTGAGTCTGGGTTCCAATCTTAGCGCAGCCCCTTCAGGTCGTTCTTTAACCTCTCTGGGCCTCGCTTTCCCCATCTGAGAAGTGGGGACTAGAAGTAGCACCTGCCATTAGGGTCGTTGAACAGTACGCGATGTCCACTGTTGCAGGTCATGGTGGCTCACAGAGCACCGGACGGGAACTCTGCCCTGGACGAGCGTGTGATGGCTCGCAAGGCTCTTGGCGTCTCTGGGCCTCGGCTTCCTCCTGTGTATGATGGAAGAGGAACAGAACGTCCCCAAAAGACAAAGTTGAGGAGAAAATTCTTCAGCCCAAAGATCCCTCCTTGGCCCTCCCGGCTGCTATGACCTCCCGCCGACAGCGGGGGCGCCCTCGTCACCCACCGCCTGTGTCTGGATCACGCGCCGGGATTCGAACCGATTCCGCTCCGCTCGGGCCTTGCGAGGTGGGACCGAGAGGCAGCCGGGCAGGCCTCTGGCCCTCGGGGATCAAGCGTTCCACGATCCCGATGCAGAGCGCGCGCGATCCCCGGAGCCCCGAGAGGACCGGCGCCGTCGGGCTCCTCCGGGCCGGCCCGGGAGCTCCCCGCGCGGGGACCCGCCCCCCGCCCTCCGCCCTCCGCCCTCCCCGGCCGGGGCGGGGACAGGTGCGCACTCCCGGGACGCGCGCTCCCGCAGAGCCAGAACCTGGACCCGAGGTGAGTGGCGCGGCCGGGACCGCGGGCGGCCGATCCCGGCGGTAGGGGGGTGGGGGCGGCGTGCAGCGCCCTAGGCCGGGCGTCCAGGACGGGCAGCACGGGGCCCAGGAAAGTTTGAGGACGGCGGGTGGCCCGCGACCTTTCCCCCAGTGTCACGCTGTCAGGTCCCGAGAGGCCGGGGGCTGAGCAGGAAAACGCTTTTTCCTCGACGGCCCAGTGGGGTCGGGACCGTGGACCCCAGACCCCTGCACCCAGGCTCAGAGCGCGCGGTGTCAGCGCGAGCATCTTCGCGTCTGGCCCTGGACGCCACTGCTGCCAATGAAGCCTGGAGCGCAGCAGCCCGGCCGCGTGGGGTGGCCTGGACCGGCGTCTGCGCCAAGGTCAGCTGTGGGAGGCTGCAGACTCTTCCCGCTCTGGAGGAACGGGAGGGAAGGAACACAATGCCTCCTGGGCTCCCTTATCTCCTCCCTCGCGGCAGCCCAGCCCTTTTCACTGGTGGGGACCCCAGGCCCTGGGAGGGTGGGTAGGGGTCTCACACGGCCTGTGAGCACGGGTCTGAGATCCTGGGTGTGCTGGGTGCCAGGACACTGCCTGCTGTCTGGCTGCTCTATGCTTTTATGGACATAGACGTTGAGGGGACTCTGAGGTCCGAAAATCAGGGGAAGAAGACCTCTTTTTTCCTGTGGATGTGAGCAGCATCCACTCTCAGATTACCAGCACGGTCAGCTGGTTTCAACCTCCGTCCTGTGGGCTTCATTCTCTGTTCAACTTCTTTTCTTTTCTTTTTCTCTTTTCTCTTTCTTTTCTTTTTTTCAGTACTGGAAGTTGGACTCAGCACTTTCCCATTGAGCTACATCCTTGTCTTTCTTATTTTTTATTTTGTGACAGGTCACACTAAATTGCACGGGGTGGGTTTGAACTTGTGATCCTTCTGCTTCAGCCTCCCATGGTGCGGGGATTACAGATGTGCATCACTACACTCAACACCATCTTTCCAGTTGCCTGCTTCTGCTTTGGTTCTTTCTGTCTCTCAGTATCAGCTTTTTGTGTCCCCCTACTGCTGCCTCTAGGTTTTCTGATTTTTGACCCCCCTTCGCCAAAACCAACCCGGTCCACCCAGTGTCATTAGGGCCCAGGCCCAGGCAGTGGCCTGCAGGACTACCAAGTTCTCCAGGAGTCTGGATTCAGGATAGCACTGACTGGACAGGCACCTGCCTAGGAGTGGGAACTCATCCAGCATGCAGGCCCACACATCCTGGTCTGTCCAGCCCCTAGAATTTGGTACCTGCCAGCTGCCTGCTCATCCGCTCAGAGTGGGAACCTGGCATGGTGCCAGCCCTTAGCCAGGAAGCACCTGGGCACTAGGGGAAGAGGACAGAGCCCCGTTCCCATGGAAATGATTCTCCCGTGGGAGAGAGCAGCACTCAGCAGATAGATTCAGCTCCCGGCCCCCAGCTGGCATGTAACAAGCACCGAGGTGGGAGGGGACTGGTCCTGCTGATCAAGGCATGGTGGTGGTGGTAGGGGGGGTGGCCCGGCCCACACAGTCAGAGTGCCTGGGCCAGGGCAGAAGCCACCCTGGCTCCCACTCTCTTGGGCCTGAGTTGCTCAGTTTTTGATGCAGAGATACAAAAGAGGGACTGGGGGTACTGCTTAGTAGCAGAGGCCTTATAGCACATGCAAGGCCCTAGGATGAAGCCCCAGAATCAGGGTGGCGGGGAGTCAGAGTATGGTGCTGACCCACTGGCTTTGCTCTCTATCTGCCCGTCAATTCTGGGCCCTCCTGTTGGGTTCAGTCACAGAAAGGACCCTGGGTCCTGGAGGAGCACCTGCTTTAGGGCCTTTCCTATGTGTTCCCGTGCCTGTCCTCCTGAATTTCCTTCCCAGCCCAGGTGCTAGATAGCCAGACGGTAGAAACCGCTCTGGTCTGTGGCCCTGGGGCCTCTTCCCAGCCCCTCACTCCAGGCTTCCTCACAGGTTGGTGAGGAGGCTGAGCCCAAACCTCAGTGCCCCACTGGCCAGCTGTGTGACCATGGGCAAATGGCTTTCCCTCTCTGAGTTTCACTTTCCTGTCTATAGAATGGAGATACTCTTGGTGGCGACCTCAGGACTGTGGAGGGGGCATAGTGGAAGGTGTGTGCACCAAGAATTGGGCTCAGTGAACAGCTACAGAAAGCCGCCTCTGTTTCATTACCCTTCCCCCTGGATGAGTTCAGCAGCTTCCTCACAGGCTAACCAGCTGCACTGCTGCTGCATCCCTGGCTCCTAATTATTCTGCTTACCACAGCTGGCATGTTAAATATTACATTGGAGCTGGCCTGTCCTCTGCCGGGGACGGCTTTGGCCCTGAGAAGACACTGTGGCTCTCACTTGTAGGCCTCACTCCCACTGCTGTAGCCACAATGGCTTCCCTGCTGTTCTTTGAACATCGGATTATTTCTGGGACCCGGCAAGGGAAGCCCACTCCAGGGCCTTTGCACTTGCTGTCTCCACCCTGGAGCCTCTTTCACACCTGCACTTGTTCCCTTCCAGCTTTGCTTCTCCACAGCCCTTGCTCCATAGTTCTGTTTTTTCTTTTTCTCGCACCTTCCTGATAGCAGGGATTATTGTCCAGCACATTGGAGACACCCCAAAATACTAATTAAATGAATAAATGAGAACCACAAGGCTGCTACAGACAGAATAGGAAATGCAGATAGGAATTTTTCTCCTTTCCTCTGCAGAGTTGAGGGTTGAACCCAGGGCCAGTGCTGAGCACATGCTCCATACCCCAGCCCAGTATTTATCTTCTAAACATGGGGTCCTCTGCACCCCCAAATCAGCCATTTGGGCTTCTCATGAGTTCCCAGAAACATCTGGGCCTTAGCACCTCCCATTGCTCAGGACATCCCCTCACTGTGGACAGAAACAGCAGGCCACCACATCTGTCTTCCAGATAAGGGTCAGTCACTCTAGGAGCCAAATTGCTGCCTCTACCTGCACAGCTGTGGTGCTGGGGTCAGACAGAGGAAGGCTGTGCAGGGAGGGGGTGCAGGCCCCAGTCATCAGTCACTAGCACTTGAGCCATCCAGGTCCCGGGGGTATCAACGCGTAATGCAACGCCTGCCGACCTCTCACAGCAAAACTACCTCCCAGCCACCAAAGGCCACCTGCTTCTGTGACTCGGCCTGCTGTCTTTAATAATTGACTTGTCCCTGGGTTAGTGTGTCACTCACTACCTCCCCAGCCTGGCTGCCTTCACCCTTTCTGCCGACCTGGCCTGGAACAGCTGGTCCAGCTGCTACTCCACTGTGCTTCTGTCCCCGCTCAGGACACCTGGAGCTTGTGGGGGAAGCAGGTACCGTCATCCTGTGCAGTACTGGGGATCAAATCCAGGGCCTCATGCTGAACTATGCCCCAACCCATTTTATTTTTTATATTTAGACAGGGCCTCACTTAAGTTATCCAGACTAGGCTCAAATGTGTCATCTTTCTTTTGTAAATTTCTCTGGAAGACCCTTGTCCTCAAGTTTAGTCTTAACCTTTGAGTGTTTTGGGTTTTTTGTTTGTTTGTTTGTTTTTCTTATAGTACTAGGGATTGAACTAGGACTTTTTCACTGCACTACATTCCTGGCCTATTTTATTTTATTTTGTTTTGTTTTATTTTTAGACAGGGTCTTACTAAGTCACTACATTGCCCAGGCTGGGCTTGAACTTGTGATCCTCATGCCTTGACCTCACAAAATGTTTGGGTTACAGGTGTGGGCCACCATATCTCACTGACTATCTTAAAGTCCTTCATGTTGCAATTCTAGAACCAGGCAATACTTCATTCCATGTAAGTGTTTCTTAGTGTCTTTTAAGGCGAGTCTAAACAGCTATGGTTAGATTTTGATTTTGGATAAAATTCTGGTTGGAGGAAGACCTGAGTTCCAGAGTTGGGGAATCAGGGGATCAAAGGAAGTGAATATATCTATTACTAAAATCATAAGTATATATCCCTGAATATATGTCTTCATACACTTCACCAGTGTTTTGCTGTATGTAAAATAAGTATGAGAAACAAGATAGAAGTTTGACATCTTAACAGTGAACAGCAAGCGACAGAGTTCAACAAAGGCAGAATATGGCTGTGTGGCTACCACAAAATCCCAAGGAAGAGGCCTGGGATTTAGCTCAGGGACCCAAGTGCCTGCCTGCTAAGTGCAAAGTTGTGAGTTCAATCCTCGGTACAAAAAAAAAAAAAAAAAAAAAAAAAAAAAATCCCAAAGGGGTGTAGTCCTTCATAGTACAAAATGGCTTCTGGTGTTCTGATCATCACATCTGAGTTCCAGGCAGCAAAACCGACAAAAAGCACAAGGCTTGAGCAAGGGTTGCTATACCCATGGAGCCTAAATTAAGGAGGGCAGCAGGTACTGTTGCCATGTGGGTGTGTAGGTCTGTGTGGCCAGGTCTTCCAAAACGTTCCCCAGAAACCAAAAACCCTGAATTTTGAAGAATATCGCCAGACTTGAAGATGACTATATGGAATTGTTTAACACACTGAGTGGCCTGGCCTGACCTGACCTGACCTCCTCCTTAGCTTTAGGGAGCTAAGTGTCATCAGAAAGGCCACCTGTCCTCAACATGCTGGGCAGCAAACCACCCCCAGAAAACCTTGGCCAGAAAGCAGACAGGGAGGGTGGGCAGACAAGATTTCCCACCCTGACTAGGTGGGGGGAGAGGCAGCACAGCTCAGGAGCCTCTCTGTCCTGGGTACCCTCTCCTGGCCTGGCCATTTGCAGACCTTAGGGACTGTGCCACCGACATGGGCAGCAGGGTACCCAGCTTCAGCCTGAAGCACTGTAGGAACAAGAGGGGCCACCTACCAGGTATCAGAGATTCCTGGGTGAGGGAGGGTGCCCCCCTGCTGGTCCAGAGCAGGGCATGAACCCTGCTGGGGCACCCAGAACAGGAGGAGCCAGTCCAGCCCAGTGGTTGGCCCCCAGGGTTCCAGCTTCCAAACTGCTGGGAAATACTTTACTGTTTTAATTTTAATAGTCATTTTCAAATTGTCATATGAAGTAGGAAAAAATAAGTATATCACCAAGCCTCATGTTTCTCCATAACGATGGAAGCACCCTCAAAGCTAGGCTGGCATTGTTTTTCCCCTCATCACAAGCCATGAGGCCCTTTGATTGAAGTCCCTGATTGGCAGGAAGAGAAATGAGACACAGAGAGGCAAATCTATCTGTCCTGAGTCACCTAGCATATGACAGATCTGGGGTCAAGTGAGGTACCTCGCTCCAGAGCCTTGCCCTGGCCACTCTATTGGTTTGTCTTAACTGAGAGCAGATTGGAGTGAGCCAATGACACTGCAGGCAGGTGTCACTGGGAATCAGGTAGGTAACTGGCAAGATAAGAGCAGACACGTGCTGAAGCACTGGGTAGAAGTCTCCGAGGGTCTGCACGGCTGAGAATTCCATGCCTTCAGGAGAAAAAGAACCAGAGCGAAACTTCATTTCTAATATTTATTATTATTTTTATGTTAAGTAATAGTGCACATGGTTCACAGTTAAAACTATGTAAAAGGGTAGATATTGAGGTGGCACCAACACCCCCAGCATTTCTCGGGTGCCCAAGTTGATTTTGCAAATACAAACAAAGAGAACACCCCCTCCCCATCTGAGACTGGGTCATTTACCAGCTTTGCTGCAGACCTTTCTCCTAGCAGCAGTGAAACCATCCCCCTTGCTTGTCCTTGCAGCCCGTACAGGTGTGCGGGTCCCAACAAGCAGAGAGCCCTGCGGCTCGCCCCACCTCTGTGATAGCTGCTTGGATGGATTCCCGTTTGTTGCTATTACAAGGCCACAATGAATAAATAATCCCGGACATGAGTCATTCGGTTCAAAGGAGGTGACCTTTGCCTTTGGGCCGATCTCATGGTGAAAAATGACAATTTAAGATTCATTTTTACCCCCATCGTGAAAGGAGACAATAGTCTTCCCATGAGATGAAAGCTTATGTGCAGTGTTTTGAGTGTTTATAACTTGGCCATCTTTCTTGGGGCTTTTGTTCTTGATTTGTAAAACTCTTCTTTTTGTGGTACTGGGAATTTGTCTCAGCGACTTTCTTTCACTGTGACAAATTACCTGACACCCGCAACTTAGAGGAGAAAAAGCTTTTTTTTTGCTCCCAGTTTCAATTGGAGGTTGATTGACTCAAAGGCAGAAAATGAGTGGTAAAAGAGCCTGGCACAGGAGAGCTGCTGTGGCACCCGGGAAGCAGGGAGCAAAGGGAGGAGCCAGGACAAGAACACATCCTTCCAGGTCGCCCCAGGGACTGCCTCTAACAAGTCCCGCCTCCTCACCGCAAGGTCAGGATTAATCTAGGAGGATTATAGCACCTGGTTGTTGTGTAACCCTTCAAACACAGGAGGCTTTGGGGGATATTTTTGATGAACCATAGCAGGATTGAACTCAGGACCTTCAACGGAGCTACATCCCCAGGCATTTTTATTTCTTATTTTGAGACAGGAGTTCCAAATCCACTAAATGGTCCAAGCTGGGCCTCAATTTACAATCTTCCTGGCCTCAGTTTCCCAGAGTTCTGGGATTGTAGACCTGTGAAAACACTCTGTATATTAGAAAGATGAACCTTTTGTCTGTGTTTTATGTTGCAAATATTTTGCCAGGTTGTCATTGTGTTTGTTTGTTTGTTTGTTTTTGAGACAAGTTCTCCCAGTGTTGTCATAGCTGGCCTCAAACTCACGGTCCTCCTGCCTAAGCTTCCCAAATAGCTGGGATTACAGGCATGTACCGCTGTGCCCAACTGCTGGTAGTAGTTTTTTTTTTTAAAGATGGTAAAACCCAACAAAACAAAACAATAAAGCCAATCAAAACAAGGCAGTGAAATTGATGCCGAACTTCAAAGCAGGATAATAGGAAATGAACAATATCTACCATGGTATTTCTTGTTATCTTCACAATAGCTGTCCACTCCATCAGACATAGCAAAACCAAACCAAGCAAAAAAGAATAAAACCAATCAAACCAATATTGAATAAAGCAAAACAATAAATTGGGATAAAACAGAACAATATTGGAAACAAGACAGAAGGAAATCCCCCACAGTTGCTATATTGCATACTTTCATCCTCCCTGTGGATGCTCAGACCGCCCAGCCCCAGGCCTGCAAAGTCAACTACATATACACATTCAGTTACTTTTTGTACTTCACTTGCTATCAACTCAGCCTGTCCACTGCTTATGCTCTGCCGATTTCTTATGGGGTGAGGGGAGTACAGGCCGCAGGCTGGCTCAGGGGAGGTGTGTTCTGGCTTCTCTCTTCCTGGGCCCCACATGGCTTGCTTCTTGGCTAATTGGCTTCTTGATGAGCTCCTCCCAGACCCAGCATGTCTTCTGCCCATTCAAGGAGCTATCAGCTGCTATTAGTGTTTTTTGCAGAGGGTGTGTGTTGACTCTTTGGTTATTTGCTTTTGTGTAATTTAACATTTAGAGTGTTAAATATATCAAAATTCTCTTTTCTGGCCCTGGATTTATGAGCTTAGGAAAGTCTTCCCATTGGAAGCTTAGTTATAAAGGCCTCCTCCCATATTCTGCTAATAAAGACCAGTTTATTCACTTCATAAGAGGGAGGTGAAAGAAGAAAAGCCTGCCACAGCCAGCCTCTCTGTGATGAACTCTCACCATCTCACCCCGTGTCCTTTTCTACCAGCCCTGCGCAGGCTGACCTGGGGGGACAGCAGCCCACAGCCTGCAGACACTGCCATGGCCTTCCTGGTCCACCTACTGGTCTGCGTCTTTGGAATGGGCTCCTGGGTGGCTATCAACGGGCTGTGGGTGGAGCTGCCCCTGCTGGTGATGGAGCTGCCTGAGGGCTGGCACCTGCCCTCCTACCTCACGGTGGTCATCCAGCTGGCCAACATCGGACCCCTGCTGGTCACCCTGCTGCATCGCTTTCGGCCTGGCTGCCTCTCCGAGGTCCCCATCATCTTTACCATCCTGACTGTGGGCACTGGCACCTGTGTCCTCTTCGCCTTTGTCTGGAACATGACCTCCAGGGTGCTGAATGGCCACCACAGCATCGCCTTCATCGTCCTCACCTTCTTCCTGGCGCTGGTGGACTGCACCTCCTCCGTCACCTTCCTGCCCTTCATGAGCCGGCTACCCTCGTACTATCTCACCACCTTCTTTGTCGGTGAAGGGTTCAGTGGCCTCCTGCCTGCACTGGTGGCTCTGGCCCAGGGCTCGGGCATCACCACCTGTGTCAATGTCACAGAGTCATTGGATGCCACCTCAAGCCCTGTGACCACCAGGGAGACCCATGGCACACAGGTACCCAGTATTTCCTGGAACAGTACCACTCTGTGCTAAGTCTCAAGGCTGGGGGGTACCACACACTATAGGCACAAGGCTCCTTCCACCCCAGTGAGTCCTTGCTGGAGTGACCTGAGGTAGGTGGACAGCAGAGAGGCCATGTCAGTGGCAGAAGACTCAGAGCCAAACAACTGGCACTTCTATGGCATCCTGAGCCACAGGAAGCCTGGGGCTTCTGGGGGACGGGGACACGTTAGAGGCGGTAAAGGGTGACTCTGACACAGGTAGTGAGTAAGTTGTCCTATTGTGCAGAGAAGATAAAGGTTGTCATTTATCCCTTCCGGGAACAGACAGCTTTACGATGAGAACTTCCTTTAGAGCTCGGATGGGCATCTTTTCTGAGCTACTCCTTTGTCTTTATTTATTTTTTTTTTTTTAATTTTTTTTTTTTTGTCTTTTTCGTTTTTATTGGTACCGGGGATCGAACTCACGACTGCCTGCTTGCAAGGCAGGTGCTTACGCTGCTGAGCTAAATCCCCAGCCCCTACTCCTTTGTCTTTAACCAGCAAGGAACAGTCAATGCCAAATTGGTCCATTTAGGGCTGATGAATTCTCATCTCTTAAAAATTGCTGGGTGGTGCGTCTGGAGCCCCAGTCCAAGTGAGGGCAGGCAGACCACTGAATCGAGGCTGGAGGAGGGGTTCGTCTGAAATCCTTGGGGGGAGAATTGCTTTGGAATTTGCTAGGTACGGATGATTTCTGACTGTCTCTGCTGTCTGTTGTCATGTCTGCCCTCTGATGTCCCAGGGACCCAGCAGCCCCACAGTGTGGGCCCCTGCCAGCCGCCTGCAGAGCAGCTACCTCCCTGCACGCTTCTCGCCGCTTGTCTTTTTCCTGCTGCTGGCCTGCTTGATGGGCTGCTGCCTCCTAGCCTTCTTCCTGCTCCAGCGTCAGTCCCGGGCCCAGCAAGGCTCCATTGAGGACCTCCTGCAGTCCCAGGTTACCCTCCACTCCATCCGGCCACGTGAGGAGAAAGACACAGGCCCCCTGGACCCAGCAGAGAGTAGCAAGGGCAAGGGGCACCTGGAGGAGAAGGTGGCCGCCCTGCGCCCTGCACAGCTGGCCTTCATCTACACGCTGGTGGCCTTTGTGAACGCACTGACCAATGGCGTGCTGCCCTCCGTGCAGACCTACTCCTGCCTGCCCTACGGGCCCATCGCCTACCACCTGTCTGCCACCCTCAGCTCCGTGGCCAGCCCGCTCACTTGCTTCCTCTCCATATTCCTGCCAAACAGGTAACCCTACCTAGCCCTGGGGAACCCTGGTGGGTGGGGTGCTTCATTCCAGAACCCTACTTTCCAAGCCTCACCACCAGGCTATATTACAGTGCTTACAAATATGGTTTCGAGCCAGGTGTGGTGCACACCTGTAATCCCAGTACTCAGTGGGGCTGTTACAGTTTGGGTACATATACCCCAAATCCTTACACGGTCATAGATGAGGGTTTTTTCAGAGATGTCTGAATCTAGAGTATGATGCTGGGGTTAAGGGTCTGTGATTACCAAATCAGCCCACTGATCGGATTGGCATCACCCTAATCCCAGTAGGCAGGATACGATATAAGCGACAGAAAGAGACTTGTCTTCTCTCTCGCTTGCTAGATTTTGCTCTCTTTGCTTGCCACGAACTGGTTGTCCTCTGTGATGCCCCTTGTCAAGCTACCCTGGCTTGTAGTCAGCCGATTAGGGACTGAAATCTCTACAAACTGTGTTAAATAAACCTTTACTCTCTTAACTTGTGGGTGTTGGCTATTTGGTCTCAGCAATGAGAAAAATAACTAAGACAGAGGCTGAGGCAGGCAATTCTGCAATTTAGAGAGACCCTGTCTCAAAATTTTAAAGCTATACTCTCACTGAGAGTATAGCTCAGTGTGAAGGCCCCGAGTTCAATGCCAAGTAATACCCCTTCCCATTCACACACAAAGCAATATGGTTTCCCAGATCTGCTATTTACCACCTATTTATCAGTGTAGTATTGGACAAATCATTTTCCCTCTCTGGGCTTCAGGGATTTTTTACCTATAACCTTGGGTTGGCAATAGCTCTACCTCCTAAAATTGCAATGGGTTGATTTTGGAAGGTACTGAGCAGTACCACACGCTATAGTCCCAATACAAGTGTCAGCCACCATCGCCAGCAGCTGGTTAGGAGGGCAAGCAGCTCCTGAGGCTGGTAATCAGAGTCCCCAGGGCTGAGAGAAAGGGACTGATTGGGTGCCCTCTTTGCCCCTTGGAGCTGTGATTCTAGAATGCTTGGGCATTCAATGACACCTTGGACCGTCCTTGACAAAAGCGAGGTGAGTTTCCCTCTGTCGTAAGCAGCTCAGGTGGTTCTGACCCAGGGGCTTTTGACCCCTCGGGGGAGCTACTCACCTTCAGAATTTGATGTTTAGGATTTGCAGTCCTCCAAACCACAGTCTATCCTGCCTTCGCTCAAGAGCTGCTTAGACCTGCCCAGCCAGGAGGGGAATGAGGGCGAGAGACAGACAGAAAATGTCCATTTGCCCGGAAGCTTAACTTTCTCCCTTGGGCCCTCCAAGCCACACAGAGAAGGTAGCAGTTTTGAAGGAAGGCAGGACCGGAGGCCACGGGCCTGGAGAATCTGAGTAGCCCCAAATGTTAGACATGTAACATCTTAGAGCCATGGGACCCAAGATTCTCAAAGTGGGAATCTCCAGGGTCAGGGTCAGCCCATGGGTTCTCACAGTCATAGTGTTCTGGAAGCTGTGGCAGTTGATCTAAGGGACAAGGACCCCAAAGGAAGGGAGTGTCCTCAGGTGTCAGACTGAGTTCTGATGGAAGATTGCCTTAAGACAGTGGAGCCAGGCCTCCTGGAGACTGTGCAAACCTTGTTTGAGACCAGGAAGGGAAGGGTTATCAAGGCCGCACTGCTTGGGCGCAGCTTTCCTGCTGAGATCAAAGCCACCTTTTCATCCACCCCTGGCTTCCTGACTGTGGCTAGTGTTGCCCTGGGAGGAAATGGCCCCAGATCAAATGCCAGGCAAGGCCAGTGGCTGGACCTGGCCCTATACATGCTGCTCCTGCAGGTCCCCTTGGACCTGCCAGATCCCCATTCTGCAGGTGAGGACACTGAGGCCCCAGGCCCAGCCTCACAGTTAAATGGCAGAACCAGGGGTTACACTTAGGGGTTACACCCTAAATCACTTTCAACTCTCCCCTGCTGTGACTCCAGGCCTTGTCATTAACACTAAGAAATGGATGTCCTGTCCTTGGGAGCCTCCCTGGTCCACCTGAGCCAGGGAGGAACTTTCCACATGGATCTAACTTCTAAACCTACGGTTGCTGCCCATGCCACAGGGCCTCCTGGGTGGAGGAGGCCAAAGTTGCTCACCTCCTCAACTCTACCCTAGGTCTCTGCCATTCCTCGGGGTCATCACTGTGCTGGGGACCGGCTTTGGGGCCTACAACATGGCCATGGCTGCACTGAGCCCCTGCCCTCTCCTCCAGGGCCACTGGGGGGGACAAGTCCTCATTGTGAGTATCCCACCTCTGCCACTGCCCCTCCTCAAGAAGACCAGGTGGGAGGGGCGCTTCTCACTGGGGATGTGGGCTGTCCAGACTGCCACCTTCCCCTGGCCGTGCATGAGCACCCGGCGGTGGCATTCTCTCGCGAACCCTGGCTTGATCGCGAGGGGAAACCTTTAGTTTCTCCTTTGCCTTTGATGCCCATCATACCCATGAGGTCTCCTTGCACTTAGGCCATTCCATGGGCCCCTGTCGCCCTGTGAGGCCACTCTGCCAGCGAGGCTCCTCTCACAGGCCTTGTTCCCTCCACATCTGTTCTTGCCCTTCCCTGCAGGTGCTGTCTTGGGTGCTGTTCTCAGCGTGTCTCAGCTACATCAAGGTCATGCTGGGCGTGATCCTGCGCGACCGGAGCCGCAGCGCCCTCGTGTGGTGCGGAGCAGCAGTGCAGCTCGGCTCGCTGGTTGGGGCGCTGCTCATGTTCCCGCTGGTCAATGTGCTGAGGCTCTTTGAGTCCGCAGACTTCTGCAGCCTGGACTGCTCTGCTTAGGCCGGCCCCATCGCTGACACCTGGAAGCTAAGGGGTGGCCAAGGTCACAGACCCCGCGTTGGGGAGCGGGGGACAGAGTTTGAACCCCAGGACCATGAACCAGGCTGCACCAGGCTGGATGGGGAGCTTGGAAGCGGTTCTCAGCCTGGGGAATGAAGAGAGGGGCGTGATTGTTACTTTGTTTTACTTTTTAAAAAAAATAAATAAAGACATTGCTTGCTTTTACACTCGGCCTTCAAAGAGAAGTTCATTTGAATCCAAAAAATGTGTCAATATAATCATTGTCCAGTCAAGGCCGAGCTGGGAAGTGAGTGGGCTGGCCCCTGGCTTCTTCCCTGCATGGTTTGTTCTGGTGGCCTGCTTCAGCCACCACACACCTCTCATAGCCTACCGTGACTCGTTAATGGTGTCACATCTTTAAAAAACTCAGGAAACACAAAATGGTGTCTTCCCAGTTGGTCTCAGCAAATAAGCACCTACATGCATGCTTGCGCACACAGCAGGTTTTAAAGCCCTTACTCTGTCACAGATTATGCAAATAAAAGCAAATGAAAATACTGGGTTCCTTCTTACATCTCATTTTAGAGAAACAGTAAGCTATTGTGCACCTGCACTTTTCATTCCCTGAAAATGAAGAGACGTTTTTGGTCTTTGTTCTGGCAGTGGAAATGCTAATTTTGTTCATCCATTTGAAGGCTCTGTGAGAAAAATTAAGAATTAGACCTCCTGCTAATCCAGAAGACTTTGAGAAAAAGTAGGAGAGAAAGGAAACTTTTGCTATAAATAAGCATTAAACCAGACTACAGCACACGTCCCTGATTGGTGAGGAGACTGCAACGGCAGAAATTGCCCTCCTTGTACACCAGGCAACCTGCCACATACATGTTCCCCAGCAGTAACTAGACCTCACACAAAGTGGCTAGACTGCACCGTAGTCCTGAACTTCACTGGAGTCGGTGTCAGCTAATTATCTTTGCTCACAGGGAATGTCAGCTCGTATCTTAATGATGGGCTGGGCACTTTGCAACCAGGTGAGGCTCCTGCCCTCCGAGGACTGAGGCAGGTCCTGCCTTGTTGGGTGTCTGCCTGCAGCGACGGCTTCTGGGGCCTTGGGAACAATGCCTGGGCTGTAAAACAGGTGAGAAGTTCATTCCACTTTCTAACAGGCACACATCCTACAGGGACAGAGCAGGAATTTACACATTCTGTAACATAGATATACTTAAGAAAATGAAGAGGACACTTTCCCTCTTTTGCACTAGGGAGAATTAATTTTTTATTTGCCTCATGCCTTAGCCAGGTACTCTTGGAGGCTGAGGGAAGAGGATCACAAGTTTTGAGTTCAGCCCTGTCAACTTAGTAACACCCTGTCTCAAAATTAAAAAGGGCTGGAGATGTAGTTCAGTGCAAAAGCTCTGGACACTTGGGTTGTTTCTCATCCCTCCAAGAAAGGATATTGAGCAGACAAGTGATAGAGAAGATGTCTCTCTTCTGGTGTCTAAAGATGCTTCAAGGTCACATGCACACACCCGTGCACGCACACTGTCCTCAGCGCCTTGGGCTTGTAAGCCATCTACTCTAGTCAGGCCCCCACTTGTGGTGGTGATGAAATCTTCCCCCACCCCTCAAGAGCCTTAGTGAAGTAGCTGAGCTGCTATGTTCAGGACCATCCCTACAGCAATGAAGGCCTCAACAAATGTCTGCCAAACTGCCATCATGCAAGAATGTCCAGCACAGGCCCTTGATGCCACGAGCTACTCTCCCCACCCTCCTGCCCTCAGTTTAAGTTATTTCCAGGCTGATAGGAGACAGAAGATGTCCCACAAATCAAGTGACAAAGTAAAATGCAGGCCTTGGAGAATGGAGCCCCTGGGTGGGATATGCCCACAGTCCCAGTTACCAGACAAGGAGACTGGGACAGGAGGATTGCTTGAGCCAGGAGATCAAGACCAGCCTGGACAACACAGCGAGACTTGGTCTCAAAAGTGAAAAGTTAGATCAGGATTCTGGACTGGCCTGGGGCTCCCTGTGAGGGGCTTCCTAAGGATGTCCCTGGCATGGAGGAGGAAAGGAGGCCTGTCCTTCCTGGCCTGGAGATGACCCTCTGTCTCCCAAGGCAAACCGCTCCCAGCGTGGCCTGCTGGAGGCCTGGGAATGGTCTGCCTTATACCCGCTGATTCTTTGGCTAGATGGCCTGCAGCTACCTGTGCCTTCCCTTGGGCTCTGTGCCAGCAATGGCTCTGTCCTCAAGTGTTCAGGATCCACAAGGGAGCACAAGGCTGAAATATGCACTTTCTACCCTGCCCTGGGCTGGCCAAAGTGCCGCGCCCCAGAAGTTTCAATGAGGATGGATACACCCTAATTTCCACAATGTGTCACAGTACCTGTCCTGGCAGGAAGCCCATGGAGTAAGGGAAGGTGTATTTTTAATTTTAAAAACAAAACAAAGAATAAAAATGATACAGAACTTTTTTCAAAAATTGGAGGAAATTAATACTAATTAATATACTGCATATTGTTATCTTAAAATTAGTTATCCAGATGACAAGATTTAGGCATCAAAAGATGATCAAACAATCAACAATGAAAACACAGCTATTAGTGTAGACTGGTGCAACCATTGTGGAGGTCAGTCTGGAGATTTCTTAGAAAGCTGGAATTGGAAGTCCCATTTGACCCAGTTATTCCACTTCCAGGCATATTCCCAAAAGAACTGAAAGCATCGTACCACAGTGATATATGCGCACCCATGTTTATAGAAGCACAATTTGTAATAGCCAGATCTTGGAAACAACCTACGTGTCCATCAACTGAGGAATGGATAAAAAAGTTGTGGTATTTTTATACAATGGAGTACTACTCAGCTATAAAGAAGGATCACATTGAGATATTTATAAATAAATGGGCACAGCTTGAGACCATACTCATAAGTGAAATAAATCAAACTCACATTTATAAATATCGAATAGTTTCCCTAGTATAAGAAACAATAAGAATACATAAAAGTATGTGTTAATCATGATTCCCAATTATATTGGTTTGAAGCCATATAATGTTTTCATTCATTAATTGGAATGCTTTTAATCTGGGTTGTTTGATTTTATTGTCTGTGATAGTACGAATAGCTATTTTGAAGAAAACAGACATCATAATAGCTAGTGCTGATTTAATATCATCTTGTCTTGAAGTCCCATCAAGCTGTTGTTCGTCTGTTTCCATTGGTTTTTAACATGTTATATCTTATTGTATTTTAATATATGTGATAGTATAAACAAAAATTTTTATAGGCAAAGAGATAATATAGAAACCGTTGTTCATTTTCTGTTAGCTAGTTCTAAATACCCTGTAATACTTTCATTCTCTGGAATGTTTTCACACTGTCTTGATATGTTTGAGCTATAGTATACGAAGTTATACTCAAATATTTCAAGGAGAAGAGACACTATGGTAACTACTATTATGTCAGGTTATCTAGTGGTGAAACACTATGATGCTTAAATTGTTCTGTTCTGACCTGTGTTGTTTTGTTGTTACGTCCTCTTTTATCTCAATCTTCCCCTTTTTTCCTTTTTTAAAAAAATTTATTTATTTATTTTTATTATTTTTTAATTAAGGGAAAGATACATTAAAAATAGCAGGATATAATAGTAACTTTTTTGTTTTCCTGTTAACCTGATTTGATCCCCTGCATTGCTCTCCCCATCTTGTTTTGATTTATTTTACTCTATTCTGGTTTTTTTGATAGTATCAAGCTTGAGGGTATAGGCAACCACTTTGAAGGCAATAAGATTCACTGTGATGCCCATTATGGTTTGACTATTATCTTCTTTTGAAGTCCTGTAAGGTCTCCGATGTTTAGGTTTTATTTGTTTTGTTCTGTACTGTTTTGTTCAATTCTATTATACCTGATGATATAGGCAACTCTTTTTAAGATAGCAAGAGGCATAATGGTAACCATTGTTGATCACCTGGTATTCTATTTTTGTATCATGTACTATGTCCATCCTTCTGTTCTAACTGACTTTGTTTTGCTTTGTCACATTTGGTTTTATTCTCTTCAAAAAAAAAGTATTAAGAACTGTGGGAGTAATAAAACCCAAAATGTGTAATTGTTATTGTAAAAAAGAGAGGAAAAGAAAGTGATCTAAAGGATATAACTGCATGTATATTTAAGTGTGTAAGATAGAAAACCATATTACTAAATTTTTGTTGGATCATTGAACAGAACTGTTTGCAATCTCACTGTTTGAAAGTCTACTTTGTATGCTTTAATTTTGTAATTTGAACAACTATTTCTAAGATGACAATATGTGATCTATTAACTAGTGATTTCTTACTGTACATTTTTTTCTTGAAATTCTGTATTACTTGTACCCTTTTACTGTTTTGTTTTGTTTTTTCTCTTTAAATAAAAAAATAAAAATAAAAAAGAAAACACAACTATTCTTTTTGATGAACTTACAAAAATTACTAATATAGTTATCTATCTTGTATAATACATATATACACAAATTCATCTGTGTACCATATACATATAATCTTTTCTCTTTTTTTCTCCTTTCTCCCATCAAAGTTGCTCTTTCCTTTTGAGAACTTTTTTTCTCTTTCATTTTTACAATATCTATTGTACATTTCAGATCTTATTACTCTTTCAGTTTTTTACACTAGAGAGACAAATCAAATATTTACACATGCGACTTCCGGGAGAACATGGCGGACAGATAACAGCAACTACCGGAGGCTCTCTGAAAGACTTGGCTCAGAAGCCAGGAATGGTGCGGACTAAGGAGACATAAGCAGGTGGAGATATGCTCTGCTGACTCAGGAACGAACTGGGCTGAGAGAAGCCAACTTGGAATGCAGTCCTGGTGCTAAAACAGGAACAGAAAAGACTCGGTGTGGAGGCTGGAACCGCGCCATTGTAAGCCGCGATTTGGGTTTCCCGCCGCGCGGCGGCTGGCTGCCTCTACAGCGGCTCGGCAAGGAGAGAGACGCGCAGAAGCTCTGAGAATGGCAATCTGCGAACGGCAGGGAGGCGTGCACTGACTTGTGGCGAGGTGAGTGAGAGAAACTGACACTCTACCACAGTTTGACTCCAGCAGAGGACTTTCTGGGCCCGAGCAGTCCTGCGGGAGCAGGGCGCGGTGGCCGACTCCAGCCACACATCCCCCTCTCGGGCGGAATTGGTGAAAAGTGCCTGGCCTGCGTGACGCTGCCGGCGGACC